TGAATCCGCACACAAACACATTCCTCCATGAATGTCACGTCTGAAGCCCTGAAGAAATCCCTCAATGTGTAGAAACCAGATTAAATCTCATATTTGTCAGCGGAGTCCTCTAAAAATAAACTACATTAATCCATGCCGCAGCAGCACCAAACTCTACTAAGTGAGAAACACTTTACAATGAGGTCCCATTTGTTCACATTAACTATTAACTAGAAACAACAGTGGAGTAAAAAATGATTTTATAATAATTATATAAATTTTACTAAATAAAATATTTTTTTTAAATAAAAGATAAAGATTAATGGAGCACGTTTCACACTTCAGTTATTCTACTTTAAAATTTAATGTTTAATTCAATGTGTTTCTTGCCATTTTTAGTAATTATTTGTGAAATTTACTAGCAATTTTGGAGTTAAAATTGTTTCTACACCATTTTTGTTTCCAGTGGACATTATTAAAATCAAAAGTTGTATCTGTTAAGATTATTTAAAGGAACTGATAACATAAACCAACAGATAACAAAGATGATTAAATCCTGAAATAAATGTAAATTTAACAGTAATGGAACCTCATTGTAAGTGATAGAAATATTCCACATGCATTTCATTTTTATCATGTTAAACATACAACTCACATGTGAAATTAACTATTTAAACCTATCAAAATCATAAATGTGTGAATGTCCTTCATCAGATCAAGTGTCTCAAATATCTATAAACATGCTCGATTGTTTAATCATGTCAAACCAAACAAACTTTTGATTGCATTTCAAACAAATGACACTTGATTTGATATTTTGCATCTAATGAATGACATTCAGACGTTTGTACGTGTCTGAAGTATTTAATCCAACTATAACTTCTATCTAATCAGATCGCATATGTGTGTGTGTGTGCGCATGTTTGTGTGTGCGTGTTTGTGTGTGTGCGCGTATTTGTGTGTGCGTGTTTGTGTGTGTGTGAGTGTGTTTGTGTGCGTGCGTGTGTCAGTGTGCGCGCATACGAATCATTTTGAACGGAAGACAGTTAATTCATTAAGATGCTTAACGCTACTGAAATCTCTTAGATTTGAAGCAATGCAATCTTTAATAAAGTACGAGGCATTTTTCAGTCGTAAATGAATCTGTGCTTTTTAACGAATCAACTGTAATGACTATGACGCAAATATATGTAATCTGGAGAAATGGACACTGAACAAATTAGTGAATTAATCTTTTTTTGTGAACAGATTCAAAAGACTCAACAGACTGCTGTGGCTTAGGACAAAGACCCTTTAAAGACTCCATCACATTGCACCTGAATAGCACACAGTGCAAATAAAACAGACTTTTTCTGATTAAATACGTTGTTTCTTTACTGTTATTTTTCAGGCAAGCCACTTGGTATAAAAGCATCTGCAAAATGCATGAATGTAAACACAAACTGACAGATTTTGCACAAGACCAGACGGAAGATAATGCAAATCCAGTCAGAGAGGAATGCGGTGCAGTATCTGTGTCCAAATATAGTGAGAGTTATAAATGCAGGAGATCTTTGCCATATCGGAGGATTTGATCAACAGACTCCAGATCTTATTCTAATCCTGGCTGAGGCTCTGAATCCGCACACAAACACATTCCTCCATGAATGTCACGTCTGAAGCCCTGAAGAAATCCCTCAATGTGTAGAAACCAGATTAAATCTCATATTTGTCAGCGGAGTCCTCTAAAAATAAACTACATTAATCCATGCCGCAGCAGCACCAAACTCTACTAAGTGAGAAACACTTTACAATGAGGTCCCATTTGTTCACATTAACTATTAACTAGAAACAACAGTGGAGTAAAAAATGATTTTATAATAATTATATAAATTTTACTAAATAAAATATTTTTTTTAAATAAAAGATAAAGATTAATGGAGCACGTTTCACACTTCAGTTATTCTACTTTAAAATTTAATGTTTAATTCAATGTGTTTCTTGCCATTTTTAGTAATTATTTGTGAAATTTACTAGCAATTTTGGAGTTAAAATTGTTTCTACACCATTTTTGTTTCCAGTGGACATTATTAAAATCAAAAGTTGTATCTGTTAAGATTATTTAAAGGAACTGATAACATAAACCAACAGATAACAAAGATGATTAAATCCTGAAATAAATGTAAATTTAACAGTAATGGAACCTCATTGTAAGTGATAGAAATATTCCACATGCATTTCATTTTTATCATGTTAAACATACAACTCACATGTGAAATTAACTATTTAAACCTATCAAAATCATAAATGTGTGAATGTCCTTCATCAGATCAAGTGTCTCAAATATCTATAAACATGCTCGATTGTTTAATCATGTCAAACCAAACAAACTTTTGATTGCATTTCAAACAAATGACACTTGATTTGATATTTTGCATCTAATGAATGACATTCAGACGTTTGTACGTGTCTGAAGTATTTAATCCAACTATAACTTCTATCTAATCAGATCGCATATGTGTGTGTGTGTGTGTGTGTGTGTGTGTGCGCATTTTTGTGTGTGCGTGTTTGTGTGTTTGCGCGTGTCTGTGTGCGTGCGTGTGTGTCAGTGTGCGCGTGTTTGTGTGTGTGTGTGTGTGTGGGCATGTGTGCGCGTGTTTGTGTGTGTGCATGTTTGTGTGTGTGTGTGCGTGTGTGCGTGCGTGCGTGCGTGCATGTGTGTGTGTGTGTGTGTGTGCATGTGTGTGTGTGTGTAACACATGAAGATGATTAACATGCACTTAACAGACTCATGCAGAACTGAACAGAACAGAACTGAGATAAACATGGAGGGAAAGGAACCAAAGCGATGAATCGGGGCTGATACGCGGGTCGATTCACTAACACAGGCGTGGAGCCGTTTGCGCCTGCATTTGTGCGTCTGAGGTTTAGGCCCAGCTTTCCCTTTGCCTGTCAAACTGCAACGCAAAACCTGGACTCCTGCGCTTCATGACGCTCTTTCTTATGCTCTAAGGGGATTTTTCATCAGCGAGCGATCAGATCAGATCCTCCCCTTCGAACCGCAGCAGCAAAGAGAACCTCCGCCAGAGAGGAATTACCATCGCTCCAGCGTTCGCTGTGATGAATGATTCAAAAAGCTGGGTTTAGCAATGCCAGGGTTTGGTTTGGTCTTAGCATCCATCATTAAAAGCACATTACGGCGGCGGCGGGAGCTCAGGCTGGAGTTTGAAGGGAGGAAGGAAGGAAGTCACTGGGTTTGGAATCATGCATGGAATATCAAGAGAAGTGTGGAAGAGAAAGCACTGCAACTAGTTTTCACAAAGTGGTTACTTACAGGTAGTAAGTGTAGGAGTGATAGGATCTTCTGCCGAGTGGGGTGGAAGGGCAAAAGCAGTGGTGGAAGGGGTGGAGGGGGAATGAAAATGGAAGGAAAGAAAAAGTAAAAATATTAATGTCTGAAAATATAGAAAAATGAACAAAACCTGATATGGTGACACATGTGACGAGTTCTGTTCTGCGTGTCTGCTTTATGAGGCGGAGCTGTGGGCGGTGCCTATGGTGTGGGCGTGGCAGTCACTATTAATATCATTAACATCTCATTAAGGGCGTCCTCAGACGTCATAGTTCATTCAGTGCGGAAGAAAATAAGGCTGTGAGGAATTTATACAAGGAATAACTCACATTCTTAAGCTTATTTATTTATAAAACCAACATTTCAGCCATACGCCTATCTTAAGATATAATTAATTATTATTAATACCTTGAAAAAGTCTGATAGCAGAAATTTTGGATTCATACATGTATACAATTTTTGCACCGCAACATTCAGCTGTGTGTTTATATATTTTTTTAACTGTTCATAAAAACAATAATTTATTTAAAAAACAATAATGCAT